TCAGGAATTTGAAACCAGCCTGAGCAAGAGTGAGACCCCAGATACCCAGAGAGAGAGGGGGACAGACACCCAGAGAGAGAGGGACAGAGACCCAGAGAGAGGGGGACAGATACCCAGAGAGAGAGGGGGACAGACACCCAGAGAGAGAGGGACAGAGACCCATGGGGAGGAGGAGCCGGCCTGGGTGCAGACTGAGCGGCAGCAGTTCCGGGACTTCCGGGACCTGAACAAGGACGGGCGGCTGGACGGGAAAGAGGTTGGCCACTGGGTGCTGCCCCCCTCGCAGGACCAGCCCCTGGTGGAGGCCAACCACCTGCTACAGGAGAGTGACACGGACAAGGTGCCATGATAGGCCACACAGGCAGGCGCTGGGCAGGGGACGCTGGGTGGGTGTGCAGCCATGAGCAAGACTAGGCCGGGGACTGGGGTGGGCCCCGCTTGGTGGGATAAAGAAAGAGGGACAGAGAGGGGGAAAGAGACAGAAAAGTACAGGGACCCAGAGAGAGGGGGACAGACACCCAGAGAGAGACAGACACCCAGAGAGAGAGGGACAGAGACCCAGAGAGAGAGGGACAGAGACCCAGAGAGAGAGGGACAGAGACCCAGAGAGAGGGGGGACAGATACCCAGAGAGAGGGGGGACAGATACCCAGAGAGAGGGGGACAGACACCCAGAGAGAGAGGGACATTTACCTTTGCTATTGATCTTCAACACTTTGAACGCACTTGCGGCCCTAGGTTCCTCCCAGGGCTAATAAAATAAAGAAAAAAGAGAGGGGAGGGGACAGAGACCCAGAGAGGGACAGAGACCTGGGGGACATACTTAGATGTAGGGAGGGCTCTCACAAGCAGGGCCAGCGCTGTCCCTTCTGATCCCTGACCCTCCCTCCAGGACGGGCGTCTGAGTAAAGCCGAGATCTTGGGCAACTGGAACATGTTCGTGGGCAGCCAGGCCACCAACTACGGCGAGGACCTGACACGACACCACGACGAGCTCTGAGCCCCAGTGTGCCCGTTGCAGCCTCGTAACCCATGGGATAACCCCAGGAGGGGCCACAGTAGCCAGGCCCCTCCCTGTCGCAGCCCTGTAGGATGGGGACGCAGCCCCTGACGTCCCCCCGACCCTGGGCTCTCAGGGACCACCTGGGTCAGCTTCTCTCCCTGAGACTCTGCAGCCCTGCCCACCCTGCCCCGGGGGCTCTCACAGCCCGGGAGGGTGAGTGACACCCATTTCTCACTGGCAGAATCTCCCAGCCCAGACCCAGGGTCACCCAACGCTCAGCTTCCAGGAGCCTCCACCAACACCGCAGCTCCAGACCTGGGCCCCAGCCACACACTGAGAGAGTCCCAGCCCCGCCACCGGCCCGCCCCAGCCCGCCTCCCCTCTGCCAGGGAGGCAATAAAACCAGCGCTGGGCCTCTCTGTGCGTCTGTCTCTCGTCTGGGGGCCCTGGGGAGGGACTGGGGGCTGTGACAGTGAGGGGATGAGGGGACCATGCTGGGGGGTGGGGTCGAGGCACGAAGGAGGAGACCAGGCATTGCAAGGCGGTGCTCAGTGTCAGCAGGAGTGGAGAGTGTTCCTGGGGGTGAGAAATAAAACTCGCAGCCTGGACCCTGCCATGCAAAACCAGATAGGAAGCCCTGCTCTCTCAGAACCCCAATGGGGAGGCAGAGACAGGGCACCATAAAACATGTCACAGAGTGGCAGACGCTATGAAGCAGGGCAAGGGGGTAGCAGTGTGGCAACATGCTGAGTGGCCAGGAAGGGCCTCAGTGGTGAGTGGAGTGAGGGAGGGAGCTATGGGGGGATTGGGAGGGATAGCATTCCAGGGCAGGGGGAGTGGCAGGTGCAAAGGCCCTGAGGCAGGAGTGGGCCTGGTGTGTCTGAGCAGCAGAGAGGAGGCCAGTGTGGAGTGAGCAGAGGGGAAATGGGGCCAGATTCTGCAGGGCCATGCAGGCAGGTCATGGTAGTCCCCGTTTGGCGGGACAAGACAGAAAAAGATGGACAGAGATCCAGAGAGAGGGGGACAAAGACCAAGAGACAGAGGGGGACAGAATTTATTGTGAGTGACATGGGAGCGCTGTGGCTCACGCTTGTAATCCTAGCACTTCGGGAGGCCAAGGCGGGAGGATCGCTTGAGGTCAGGAATTTGAAACCAGCCTGAGCAAGAGTGAGACCCCATCTCTACTAAAAATAGAAAAAATTAGCTGGGCATGGTGGTGCACACGTGTGGTCCCAGCTACTCAGGAGGCTGAGGCAGGAGGATCACTTGAGCCCAGGAGTTTGAGGTTGCTGTGAGCTAGGTTGGTGCCACGGCACTCTAGCCCAGGCAACAGAGTGAGACTCTGTCTCAAAAAAAAAAAAAAAAAATGCATTAGTGTGGTACATTTGTTACAATTGACAAGCCAATATTGATACATTATTAACTGAAATCCATAGTTTACATTAGAGTTCATTGTTTGTGTGGTACAGTCTATGATTTTTCTGTAACATAGAATGACATTATCATATAGATGGATTTCACTGCCTTAAAAATCAGGGGGATTTTTAAAAAGTAAACTTTGACTTGAACTCTGTCGTCCTATGCGGACAGGGGATGAGTTCTCATTGGCTGAACACCTCTGGGAAGCAGCGCCCACATCAAGAACAAGCTATTTCCCAGCCCCCGCCCCGTGAGACCCTTTCAGGCCCGCTCAGGTCCCTCCCCACCCAGTGGCAGCACCATTGACTTCTAATCCCCTAAATTAGTTTCACCTATTCTCGAATTTTCTATCAATGGAATCACACACTGTATGCTCCTCTGCATCGACTTCTTTCGCTGAGCGTAACATCGGTGAGATCCCTCCATGCACTTGGGGACGCTGAGATCACTCTTGCTCGTGGCCGTGTGGCTTCCCCTGGGCAAAGTCTTCACAATGCACTTGTCCCTTCTGCTGTCGATGAGCAAGTGGGTTGTCTCCAGTTTGGGGATGTTATGAACCTTCTTTGCTGTGAACCTTCTTTTGGTGACCTTGATATATTTTTTTTTTTTTTGAGACAGTGTCTCACTCTTTTGCCTGGGCTAGAGTGAGTGCCGTGGCGTCAGCCTAGCTCACAGCAACCTCAAACTCCTGGGCTCAGGTGATCCTTCTGCCTCAGCCTCCTGAGTAGCTGGGACCACACGTGTGCACCACCATGCCCGGCTAATTTTTTCTATTTTTAGTAGAGATGGGGTCTCACTCTTGCTCAGGCTGGTTTCAAATTCCTGACCTCAAGCGATCCTCCCGCCTTGGCCTCCCGAAGTGCTAGGATTACAAGCGTGAGCCACAGCGCCAGCCTTCAAGATGTTAATAATAAGGGAGACTGAAGGTGGGGGGAAGGGGTATGTGGGAACTCTTGTACTTTCCACTCATTGTTTCTTTAACCTAAAACTGCTCTAAAAAAGAAGGCCCTTTAATTTAAAAAATTCCCTTTATAAGACTCAAGTCCTATAGATCCACCTCCCGCCATATTTAATGAATTTTTTGTCTCTTGGGGAAAGAAATGGAAATAACCCAGGGTTAGACTATAAACCTATAGACCAGTTTAGAGAGAAGTGACATCTTAATAATATTAAGCTTTCCAATCCATGAATATGGCATATCTCTTTATTGCTTTAGGGTCTTTAAATGATCTCAGCAATGTTTTGTAGTTTTGGTTTTTTTGAAGGGGAGGTAATGAGGAGGGGGGTTCAATTCCCTTTTTCTTTTTTTGAGACAGAGTCTCACTTTGTTGCCCTGGGTAGAGTGCAGTGGCATCATCATAGCTCACTGCAATCTCAAACTAAATTACTGGGTTCAAATGGTCCTCCTGCCTCAGCTTCCTGAGTGGCTGGGACTACAGGCACGCACCATGATGCCTGGCTAAGTTTTTTTTTTTTAGTAGAAATGGGGTCTGGCTGTTTCTCAGGCTGGTCTCGAACTCCTGACCTCAAGCGATCCTACCGCCTTGGCCTCCCAGAGTGCTAGGATTACAGGTGTGAGCCACCGAGCCTGGCCTGTTTTGTAGTTTTTAGTGTAAAAGTCTTTTGTTAAATTTATCCCCAAGTATTAATATTTTATTTTTTCTGCTATTGAAATGAAAATGCTTTTTAATTTCACTTTTTAATTTTTTGCTTCTAGCATATAAAATAGGAATATTCTTACATTAACTTAATATCCTGTGAACTTGCTAAATTTACTTATTAGGCCTAGAATTTTACTTTCATTCCTTTTTATTATTTTATTTCTCTGCTAACATTTCCTGTCTTTTTATTCATTATAAGCGTGTTTCCTTTAGGTTCTTGAGCACAGTTATAATAGCTGTTTTTAAAACCTTCTTTTTTGATTCCAGCATGGGTCATTTCAGGTGTCAGTTGACTGTGTTTTCTCTTGAGAATGGGTCATATTTTCCTCTTTGTTTCTGTGTCAAGTAATTTTAGATTATATAGGCTACACTGTAGAAACTCTGGAGTCTGTTATGTTCCTCTGAAGAGTATTGCTTTTTTTTTTTCTATGCAACTCATTAACTTAGTTGAACTCAAACTGTAACCTCTACAAACTCTGTCTCTCCTGTGAAATTTGTAGCTCAAATGTCAGTTCATATTTTTAGGTTTAGCTGGTCTTTTTGGAGTGCATCACATGCCGGTATGGTTTACGGTCAGCTAGATATTTGAGTAGAGTTTATGTAAAATATTTGGGGTACCATCTCTGGCTTTCCCCCCCAGGATTTATCTCCTCACTTTTCTGTTGCTGTAGTTGTTGAAGCTGGGAAGACTGGATTTTCCCTGGTGTTTTAGTTACCCCTCATGGCATGAACTAGAACTTGTCCCCAGTCTAAAAGCTGTGCAAATGAGAAACTCACCTAGTGGCTTTCCTTTTTCTGAATGTCAAGTCCCCTCCAGTTTCCAGCCTGCTTTTGTTCACCCTCCAGTACCGTTAGGTAAATCTTTTCTATTTTTTCCCCAGAGTTTACAATTGTTACCTGTGGGAGGGCTGGAATTTGAATCCAAGTGCTATTGACGTTAAGCTGTTAATTATAACATACTGCCCTGCCCCCTAGTGGCTTGAGGTGGAGAACTGGTTTACGGGGGAGTAAGGACAAATTGGTAAATCTCTGAGGGCTGCATGTTTGAAAACATTTTTTATCAAAATAATACACATAGCAACAAATTACTTGTACAGAACAGTTGATGGCCAGACATGGTGGCGCGTGCCTGTAATCCTAACAGTTTCGGAGGCCGAGGTGAGCTTTAGCTTTAGCCCAGGAGTTTGATAGGAGCCTGGGCAACATCCTGAGACCCTGTCTCTACAAAAATTAAGAAAAATTAGCCCAGCACAGTGGTGCACACCTGTAGTCCCAGCTACTCAGAGGCTGAGGCAGGAGGATCGCTTGAGCCCAGGAGTTCACGGCTGCAGTGAGGTATGATCGTGCCACACTGTATTCCTCCCTAAAAAGAAGACAGCTCACGGTGGAAGACTTCCCAGCACCTTGTAACCTTTAGTGCCTCTCTCTAGAAGTTTTTTGCTTTAAAAAAATATTCTGCATATTTTAAAATATTGGCAACACACTCACAGGGTAAAAATTTCTAAATATACAAGATGCTGTATACTAAAAACAATGTCTTCCTTCCACCAAGTTTGCCTCCTCACAGGCAACTAATATTTCTTTCCAAGGAGAACTCACACAGGTTTAAGCAAATTATGCACAAATTGTTTTTCTTCTTTTTAACGTTCTGTCACCCGGGCTAGAGTGCCGTGGCATCAGCCTAGCTAACAGCAATCCCAAAGTCCTGGGCTAAAGCGATCCTCCTGCCTCAGCCTCCCAAGTAGTTGGGACTACAGGTGCACGCCACCAAGCCCAGCTAATTTTTTCTATTTTTTAGTAGAGACAGGGTCTCACTCTTGCTCAGGCTGGTCTCGAACTCCTGAGGCCAAGTGATCCTCCAGCCTCGGCCTTCCAGAGTGCGAGGATTACAGGTATGAGCCACTGAGCCCAGCCTTCTTATTTCTCTTAACAGTACGTTTTTTGGGCGTCAGAATCCTCAGATTTTTAAAATTTAAAATTTATTTATTAATTTTTTTCATCATGGCAATTAAGAATACATTTTGAAGACTATTGTTAATTCAATCCACAAGAATGTCTTCATTTCTTTTTTCTCTTTCTATGAGTAAGTAGTACTCCCCCGGGTAACTGATTTAACCAGTTCTCTAATGACTGACATTTAGCTTGTTTCTATTTTTCTTTTTTCTTTCTTTTTCTGCCAAACAAGTATTCTATAGGTTGTTTCTAGTCTTCGCTCTTACAGCTGCAAAGAAGGTTCTAGCACGTCTGTAATTTTCTACATG